GCAGAGACGTAATGTAGCCGTTACATATTCTGCTGTGATCCTGCTTTGCATAAAAATGTCATACTTGAAGGAAGCCTGTGTTGAGACGTGTGTTTGTGTGCACAAACAAAGCAACAGATGTAGAGGGAGCTGGAACACACACTTTCACACAGACACGTGCTCACCAGCAGACAGAGATGCATTCAGAAACAAAAGCGAGAACAAGATGACACTGGAGGGAGCGACTGAGCGAGGTTTTATTAATGCCTGTGTTTCGCACAGCATGCGCGCTGACAGTGAGCTCTGTGTGGTGTCCAAAAAAACACTGAAGCAGGCTAGACGGATGTGTAAGATGTCAATGGAGAGTTCTACACTAATCCATAAAGCAGAGGGAAGGAGATAACAGGAACAACTCAACAGGCTTAGTGGAAGAGGGGGACAGGGAGGGAGGGAGGTGAAGTGGTTGGAGTAAAGAAAGGTGTGAAGGAGAGGTGAAGAAAAGTAAAGTGGAGAGGAGATAAGCCCTGGAGCTGCAGTGTTTCCTTCTGCAGCTGAACCAGAGGAAACAGTGAAATACTGGAAGAGGGCTTTGGGAACTGTTACACTGCAGCACAGCAGAGCAGAAGCACAGAACTCAGTTCAACATTTCAGTCTTCTACAGAAAGGAAAGATGCCTCTGCTGAGCAGCTGGAGGCTGGCATGCTGCTACACTGACAGGACCACAGGTTTAACCACAACATGACTACAGAGTGATACAACAGTTTATGGTCTCTGAGATGTTTCCTACTTTTTAATGTAACTTACTGAGTCGCTGGCACAATCAAGCATTATGTGCCACCCACAGATGTAGTGCACGAAAACACCTTCATATAAAACGCAGGTTAGTGAGACTCTAGTCTGCTGCTCTTGCACTAAGTAACCAAAGCCCTTAGGAACATGAAACAAAAATACTTTGGGCAATAAGTGAAATGTGTGTATTATTAGATAATCCTAACTGATAATTCATCAGATTAATTATTTTTACGCAATGTGATTTACAAAATGTCATTTTAATGAAACTTTTTTTAAACAACTGTTTTGTTGCAGAAAAAAAACAATTGTCCTGTCTTATGGGTTTATGTGTCAATATTTAGGAGTGCTTTTTTAACTATGGTTTATTTATTGGGTGCTATTTCTACTTTCAATAAATTAGATTTTCTATTTTTTTGCTTTGTTTATATATTTTGCATGTTTTATTTCTACAGTCAGGGATTTTCTTTTTCTCAGTTTGTTGGAATAATGTTCTTTGCATTCATAAGAGGGTTAAATTATTCCAATTAAAACATGAAAATAATGGAAGAATAACAGTTTTTTTTCTCAGCATTTTTAAGAATTGGTACACATTTTTCCATGGCTTTGACACGTTTAGGGTAATTTCACTCAGGAACAGGAACAGGAGTCTCATTGTAGTGTGCTCTTTAGTTTCAAGCTATGTTTGACCAGAATTTAAAATGGTTTGTCTCTTCATTGTTGTATGAATGTGACAGTAAAATAAAAAAACTGACAGTCAAACATTTGCTTCTGCAATTACGGCAGTAATTAATTTTTTGCCAAGAGGTAGATCGTGATTTTAGAAAAAACTTTGAACTTTGCACCTGTGACAGCAACCTTTAAGTCCTCACAACTACACAACTGTTTATTGAGTATTTGACATACAAATTTAAAATACTAGATAGTTTTGATGTCATTCTTTAAATTAATATAGACAGTCATATACATACAAACATATGTTTAAAATTTGTGAATGTTTTTCAGTTTGTTCACCTTATGACAATATGTCCAAGACCAAAGTCTTTCTGACCACACTTTTATGAGGACAATACACCGGTGTCTGCAGGTTTCAGTGTTTTGTTGTTAAACTGTAATGAACTGTCAGCGATTCTAACAACGTTCTCATGAAACTATTTCTCTGCAACAGTTCACTTGTGTGTGCTGTGATGTTAAATCATACTGCTCTTACTGTCCAATAGCTCAGCAGCAAAAACAAATGAGCCAGGAGCTCCAGTCTCTGTGCAATTCAGTGCTTTAGGAACATAGGGGACCATCTCACAGTCCTTATAATTAGCTGATGTAGTTCACCCTTTTATTGTTTTTGTACAGGCAATACTGTGGTCATTAGTAGTCCTGATAACTACATTAATTAAGTCATTTTTAGCTCCTGCTTCAGAACAGGTGTTTTTTTTTGGTTTATTAAGGACTCTTGAATGATGTAAAGTGTTGTTCATACAAAAGCGTATTTTGTTTGGACTAACAAGATGAACACTTTTACAACGCCCAAATTATTAAAACTGCATTTCCATTGCTAAAGTAGAAGCTGTTTAACTGTTGTCTGCTACGACATGCTCTTTGAACATGTGCAGCATAAACTAGACAGATCTTTGAATGTATGACTTATGTTGTATGAGTATTGCTTTCTAAAAGTTCTTCTGAATGTCTGGGATTCTTGCTCCACATAGTCTTCCATTGCTGCTGATGGCAAATATCACATGCACAAGTTGTTTGGCTGCAATGACCATCATCCAAGTGTTCAATAATCTGTATTCCACTTTAAACCACAGCAGAGTCAGATTAACAGCCCTTATAACTTTAACAGAGTCCTTCTAAGGACTATATCGTTAGCTAGCTGGTAGGGGTGGGCGATGTGGCTCAAACATAATGTTGTGATATTTCAGAGAATTCTGATGATAACGATAAATTTTGTGATAAAAAAGCAAAAACAGAAATCATAATTATTCAATTGACAAAATTAACTTAACATGTTGCTGTACTAAATAAATAAAAAAAGGATTAATTTTACTGCATTTACTTTATTTAGTAAAGTATGCAGTCAAAAAGAATAAAAATAAAAATGATACTTTTGTTAATTAGATCGAAAAAGTCTGCACAAAACATAGACCAATAAAATCCACCACAAAAACTAAAGTGTAGGTGCAGTTTACCAAAAAACTAAACAAAATGAAGCTTAAGTTCTGTTGAGCATAAATGTAACATAAAACAAAAAAAGGTTGTCTCTAAATGAGCTGTAACTTCCAAAACTTGTGACAAATGTTGAAAACGCATGAAAGGACTGATGATCAGAACAGCCATCGGCCAAATTTCCAGATGCTCAGGAAAACAGCTGGTCTCGAGGTTTGAGCTGCGCAGTTCCCAGTCGCTGTTAGTGCACAGTCAGACTCAGGTAAGGCTCCGCGGTCCGACCTGAACATAAATCGGTAGTAGATGCATAGTCAGCATTTCCCCTACGCGGTGTCCGCCGCATTAACAGCATCGAGCTCACAGTCTACCGAATCGAACGTCGGCACTGATGTAGCTCCAAGTTGGCTAGACGCTAACTAAAAAGTTAAAGGCAACGTTTTCCTTCACAATGACCGGCTCGAAAACTGTCGGGACAAACACTGCACAGCTCAAATGTGTCTGTGTCTCCCCCCAAGACTAAAACAGTGCACAGCTCAGATGTGTCTGTGTCTCCCCCCCCCCCCCCCCCCCCCCCCCCCCAAGCCCACACCACTGAACTTGCCGTTCATGCCTTCACCTTTACAACTTGAATATCGCTGCATGACCCACGTAACAACACATTTCCTTAAATCTAATTGATCATTTTAAATTTACACTGATTAGCTTCTCAGAAAGTTATACTTGCAATAACCACGTCCCCTCACCAACAGGAGTTAACCTATCTTCAAACGAAGTTTTACTTTATATATTTAATTAATTAAATATTATAACAGCATATTTTCAGAAAAATTGATAGTGGCTGTGCAAAAATTAAAAATAAAAAAAAATAAGAATTTAAGATGCAAATTTTTTGTAATTTAAAATGTAACACACCTATATACAAACATACACACATACATATATATATATATAATATATATACATATATATACAAATACACATATATACATACATACGAAAATGAACCGAACCGAAATGTGATTTTAGCGTATCGTTACACCCCTAATATATATATGAATATGTATATATATATATATATATATATATATATATATATATATACATACATATATTTATATTTATATATATATATATATATGTATGTATGTATATATATGCACGCACACACACATAAATATTAGTACTAGACAAGAGAACCTGTAAAAGTAGTCCACTGAGAGAAGTTAAGAGGCACATTGCGTCTGTGGAGCCAAGTGGGTACAACGCGCTGTCTTCCACCCCCAGGGGCCTCAGCCGGGCATGTCCAGAGCAAGTGTTCAGACACACCACCACTGCTGATGCCAGGTCAACATCAAGAAGTGCCTCCAGCAACTTCAGGTAGCTGACTAGAAGGAGACAACGAGAAAGAGGTGAGAAGAGCAAGGAGGTAATGGCTGACAAAATAAAGAAATGAGGGAATGACGGTTTCCTTAACCAAACATAGGAGGTGGAGAAAGACAGCATTTAAATGTAAAGAGAGAGGCCACAAGAGAATCATGTTTACAAAAAAAAAAAAAGAACAAAGGGAGACAGGATTTGGATCTATAAAGCTGTAAGAGAATACGAAAACATACAGAAGATGGTAGAATGTAATAGCAGCAGAAATTTAGGAACAGTGAAGAGACAAAAGCTGAAAACAAGTGATAACAATTTTTAACTGACGTGACAGAAAATGAGCCAACAAGTTAAAAATATCAGTGATAATAAGTACAGATCATGAGAGACAGGATTGAAGGAGGATATACATGACTGGGATACTATGATTTTGAAGGTCATTAAGAAAAAGACAAGGCTAAACGTGTTGCTAAAACACTAGATCCAAAGCGGAGTTGCCAACCATCTGAACTATACTTACACTGAGATTAGAAGTCTCAGGGGTGGGGTGGGGGTGTAATTAGTGACAGCAGAAAAGAGAAAAGACACACAGGGCAATAAGACAAATATACAGCGAAGTAAAGGCAGAAAGGGAGACATTAGGGATATACAAATTGAGAAACTGAGACAGAGAAGAGGCTGAGTGAGCAAAGAAAGAGCGATAGAGGGGAAAGAGAGCGAGATAGGCAAGCAGTGGCAAGGAGCCCATACATCACAGTGACCCTGACAGGCCACTTATCCAGCTGACAGACAGAGACACAGGAGCAGCAGGGATGATCTGTCTACCAGTGCTGCAGTGGGATGTGGGTCACATAATATATTGAGTATGTGCAAAAAGCAGGCATGGGGCATCTTCAGCGGTAATGCCACTGAAGATGAAGCTTTAACAGTAACTTTGTCGGTTCAGGAGTGCACAGAGACTAAACAGGAGAAAATGCATTAGCAACCTCTGATTTATCGTATAAAACTGTGACGCAATGATAAGGCGTGCCTGACATTTACATTTACTAACTTATCATGACATGCACTCAGCTGTTTAGGTTTTACAACCTCCTATGGGCCTGCAATTACCTTATATCCATGTGGATGACAGTAAAAGTAAAAGCGGAAAGCACAAAAGAGAAGATAAAGGTGAAACACGGAGGGCAAAAGAAAATGGGAAAGTGTGAGCCACAAATATCGACGACATTTTCAAATGTTCTCTCAGCAACAAATCACATAACTGAAGTGATTCAACATCTGTTCATTGCAAGAGTCTAAATCTTTAAAAAAGATACAAAAAAAATTTGTCGCTACCGAGTAGAAGATTGTCTGTGTTTCTTTTCTGAAGAAGAAGTCGCTGCACAGCTGCGTCCAAACTCCAACTGATGCTCTTTTGGACCTGACCCCCACGAAAACAGAGAAAATCAGAACGTTGACAAGACTTAGGCCACATCAAGTGCAAGTAAGAATGTATTATCTCTTCCGTGTGAACAGAGTATCAAACAAATGCAATCATTTAGTATTCTGAACCCAGATCTAGTTCTAGGCTCTGTCCTGCTGCAGGTTTTGTGTCTCGTCCTTGACTGTGTCTTCTGTGTGCGGTTCAACCCTGGAGCTGTGATAAGAGTAAACTTGAGCTTGTGCTGTGTACCTGAGTGGAGTGAAGACGCTGCAAGGTAATGAGGGAGGACAGGAGTAGGTGGCTGCAACTCAGCAGAGCCGAGGAACGACAGACAAATGGAGGGGGTGATGGAGCTGAGCAGGAGGAGATGACTGTCTGCAGCTGGGCCATCAGCCCAGAGCTGGAGAGCAGCACGGAGACAGCTGGGTAGAAGAAGGCACTATGTCATTACACAAACACCACATCTGTCCTTTTTATGGTAACAACATAACATACAAGGACAGATGTTGCAGCAACTGAACATTATCACTGAGTAAATTCATTTTTTATGACAGAATAAAATAAACTAGTTGTTATTTTGTCACTGGAATGCTGCATCATAATATCTAATTTGCAGTAATTCACAAAAACAATATCAGTAAACACTCGTACAACACATTACAGACCTGTCAATCACTGGGAGGCCAGTCGGAGGTATTAACTAGTTATTGTTGAGGCTCGACTTTAATTTGACAAAAAACTTTTTCCTAATTCTGTTTGCAATCTATGTGGCTTCACGTTCACGCAATATACACTCATCCAAATGGGTTAATAAATTGCACGTCTTTTGCGGATGCAAATAATGATGTTGGGCACCTGTCTGATTCTCAAAGCCCTCAAAAAGAGAGTTATGCGCTTCAAATTACTTTGGCAAAAGAAGTGTCTGTCTGTGCTGTTTGATGTATTGTTTCTGCTTTCAAAGGAAAAGACACCCAGGTTTATGTAAATAATTGCCAGGAAAAAAAAAATTGTTTGCGACACACTGCGTCCCAGGAGAAGAAACTGAGGAAGAGGACAGATCTGCTGCACGGCTGCCTTCATGAAAAGAGGGCAAGCATGTCAGTGAATTCAGCCTCCAGACCTTTTTTATTTGGTACACTGATTGCATCACAATGTATTTATATTTATATAGATACATTATATTTTTATCATAATACAATTCTCATTGTTGTGACCTTAACACTGTGCTCCATACATCTTGTGCTTTGAAGAGCTACAGCCTTTGTTGCATAAATCAGATTTTTCCTCAGTGCAGCAGGTGCAAACAGGATTCAGACAGTCTTCCTAAAAAAATCCTAGATCTGTTCTCCAGCCTCAAAATATTGAAACGATGTGTGTCTACTGTAAAAGCTGTGTGAGGATTTAGTTTGAAGAACAGAATTAAAACCAACTTTGTAAGTCACCTGCCCGATACAAATCTAATAATAGTGTATCCATCTCTCTTTATGGGTTTGATTGCACACAACCCAGACAGCACTTTAAGTCCAAGTGGATCAGGAGGAAGGTTTCAGTTCAGCTCAGATCACAGTCAGCGGTTTACCTAATTAGTATAAAATATATTTTAATAATTCTATTTTAATTGATAATCTCAGGAAAATTATGTTCCTGTTAAGATGTTACAGTATAAACTAGGTTAACATAAGCTTACATTGTAAAAGATTAGGTCAGGAAGCATGAATGCTCGTGTCACACAAGGACTGGCCACTACGGAGTCTAAGCATTTTTCTGACACGCCCATCATCAATACAAGACCTTGAAACTAAAAACAGAAATAGATATGATGATGCATAACCCTATGAAAAACTATACCACATGAAATCAAAACTAAATGTGACCCAACATAATATTAAGAGTTTCTGACTCTATTTTGCCAGGTACATTATATCACATGTTTTAAAGTTAAAATGTCTTCTTCTTTTTTCTTTGTTAAAGACAAAAGTGCTTTGATTCTTATGCATGCCACCATAAGCTCAAACAGTGACTGGCCTGAGGCTGAAAAAGCTGTAAACTCACAAGTGATGAAGAAGCAGAAAGAGATTATCGGCAGGCTGCAGCAGAAGCAGTCAAGTATTACTATAAACGTAATAAGCTTTATGTCCCCACAGAATCCCTGCTCTCTGGACCACCTTATTAACCACAAACCAGCTCATTGCTGACCTCTGCTGAGGTTTGTTCATGGACTTGTGAACAGGAAATTTACTTAGCTTGTTATAAAACCAATCTCATAAATGTCTTCAGTAAGACCAAATCGAATCCGTCTTGAGTTGAGCTTTCATTAAAAACAATAGAAAATGATTCTTTCAAACAACTTATTCTTAGACGAGATGTCTTTTAGTATTTTAGCTCATTAGATTTGGTTTGGTGGATTTACAAGAATTTGCTTTAAGATATTTTATTCTAATAAAACTTCAGTGGTAATTTTCAGATTTACGTAGGATTTTAATTAACTTAATGCCTTGTCACATATTAAAATATTTTGATTATATCAAGTAAAATTATTTATGTTTGGTCAAATAAAACACAAAGACTTTTTTTGCACATTTTGAACCTCACGTGCTCATTGCAGTTCTTCTGAGAACTTACTCTCTAAGGCTTAGAGAATAAGAGTCTAAGCAAGCAAATGTGTTGGATTGTGCATGTAACAAGGTGTTGCATGTGACAACAACAAGCTGTCAGGACATCACCCCAACTTATGAGTTGCTCTAACACTTAACAGAACAGAAAACAAGTACAGCAGTGCCTTGCTACATCACGGTTCGTTTTTCACAGACTCGTTCTATCGCGGTTTTTCAAAATAGGATTGGGCATGACACACAAATGGCTGATTGACAGATGAGCCGCACGATCGGCATGGAATTTTTATTTGAAATGAATTATTTTAAATTATTTAGCACCTGCAGGAGAAACTTCCTCCTGCAGCTCCTATTCCCTCCTCCGTTGATCTCCGTTCTGCAGCGAAGTGGGCGTGGCCTAGAGCAAAAGTGCAGTCGTGGCAGAGCTGAGATCCTTATATGATGTGCTCTTTTACAGCGTTTAGAGTTTAGAAACATTGTTTAGAATATTGCAAGACTGTGGGAAGGGTTTAAAGTGCCTTATATATATATATATATATATATATATATATATATATATGTATGCCCGCGATAAACGAGGGACTACCGTACTCATGATAAAAATCAGGAAAAAGATAAAACAGTCTTATTTGATTATAGTTTTCTCTGTGCCAGATTGCTACATTGATCAAGATCAGACATCTGAGACAGCGGGAGAGAGGCAGAGGGTGTGGGAGACGTTCAAAAAGGGAGACAAATAAAAAAAATTACACGTGGGTACAAAAAGCCAGAGAGGCAGCATAAAAATGGCTAACCTCTATCAGCGCTGTGTGCAGGTGACAGACTCAGGCAGCACTGCAGGTAGTTGAGGGCAGGCAGGAGGCTCTCTGTGTTGGAGGGCTTCAGCATCCCCACGATACTACTCACTAACCCACACACACACACCGCACACACACACACGCACACAGGTATCATTCTTGTGTGTGCCTGTGGCTGACATGAAGGTGAAGTCATGTAAACTGGCCCCTTGTCAATATAGGCTTCGTCTTATTTTGCAACAAAACTGTGGCAAACATGCAAACAGTTTTTTTGAATCAGCAGAAATTACCCTCTGATTGTATGTTAAATAAAATAAGCAACGCCTCCACTAATGAAGAAATACATGAGAATGTGAAATAAGAACAAGCAGGATAACACAACAGGTAATAAACTAGATGACAGGACAGTTCAGTCAAGTTCAGTTGTGTGACGGCATTTCTGTGGACATGTGTCTGAAACAGAAAATGTCTCTATGCCCATTAATTTAGTCTCTTGTGAGCAGCCGGTTGGACTATGCAGATATGCTTGACAGATGTGAGGAAGAGTCGTCAACAGCAGGTTTAGACCTCACCATGGTAGAGCAACTTGAAGTGCACTTCTTCCATATTGGTGAAAATGGCGGGTGAAGGCGGGTCACTGGTCTGGGTCACACACAGCAGCTTCAGCACCACAGGGAGAGATTTAACTGCTGCACAAAGAAATAAAATGGTGAAAAATGTCTATGTGAGGAAAAAAAAACAAGTTGAGCAGCTAAAAGACTGCCTGCAGTCATTTTGAATTAGCATAAACTTATTACTTTCTATAAAACAGGATACTCCCAGTGCATTTATGCAACCCAGAACAATGGGCATAATTCCAACACAGTTAGGAAAAACCTTTAAAGGAGGGGTATCTTGCAATCACTTTTGGACTTAATGACGCTTTGGTTTGCCACTAGGGAGTAGCTACTGCTCAGCATAATTATGGAAAGGCAAGAAGAGGAAGAATAAATTGTACTGTACTTTTACACTTTCATTATTTTGGGTCTGAATCCGAAAGAGATAGTCAGCCTGAGGATGGATGTGAGGTAAAAGAAGATGAGACTGGATGAAGATCAGGACCAGCAGTCATCTTTTACTGCTGTTGCATATCATTAAAATCTCGGTTTATATATATATATATATATATATATATATGCAGATTGTACTGGAAAACGTGCAAAGATAACAGCCTGCAGTCCTCTCAGGACATGAAATGAGCAAAGAGCAGGCAGAGTCTAACCACAGCAACAGTTCCTGGTGTTGTGGCCTTCAGCTGTTCTCATTACTCTGGTCAAATATACAGACATGAAAGCACCATCTGGCAGACTAAAACACATCACAGCATGATATATATGCATGCATTAAATAAATAAAAATGGTACTGTTTGACAAGAATCCAACCACCACTCAAATGTGACATTATAAATACCTGGTTTTTACATGTTTTTATACTTCATAGCATTCCAGACTCAAATTATTTAATTTTGTAATCTGTTTTTGAGCCGTTTTCAACTTCTAAGTGCAAGTATTTACAGTGGATAGATTCACTGTCTGAATAATGCAAATACAATAAAAAAACAAAATGTACATAAAACACATTTATTACCTAAAACACGGCTGTTGGGAACCCTGGGAAGATGTGTTTGTTGGTTCTCAGTCAGTGACTCATACACCAACGACCAAAATGTCAAACTCAAAGCTTGATTAGTTTAACCTTTTGTAACCTTTTGGCAGATGAACCAAAAGGAGATCATGGTGACTTTCCATCTTTTAAATGTAATTAATATGAACAGCAGTCAGCTTGTTTGACCAACTTTCTTTTTAGAAATTTGCACTTTTTTATCTTTTAGAAAATAAAATGTAGAAGAGTCTGAAAACTCAAATATCTTTCTATATTATATTTTTTAATGCTTAAGAGCAGGGTAGGCACAAAAAAGTTGAATGCTTAAAATCTACAAAAGACACAATGTTTATATACAAATACACCTACAATTTTTCAGCATTTCTACTATTTTTCTTTCCTGTAGAAATGCCCCTGCTTGCAGGCTCTTCAATTATTAATTAAATTAATCAGATTTTATCTGTGTAAAGATCTAGTAAACTAATGCATCTAGATTTAATACGAAAAGTGCACTGGAACACAGCTGCTTTTCCAGTCCAGTCATATTCTGTACGTGCATGTCTGTGAATCGGTGCACACTGGGGAATCCTCACACCTCATTTTCCATACTTTTCAAGAAAATGCAAAAGTAAATGAAAGGGGGATTGTTACATTTTTACTCATACATTTGTCCCCGATTAGTCAAGCTAGTTACTTTAATTACTTTAGTAATGGCTTCTCATCTTCATTATCTTTAATATTCACATCAAAAACAAGATTTCTGCTCCTATGATTCGACAGCTTGCTAGAAATGGCAGGGAGGTGAGCATTAATGATAATTAACATCACTCCTACACTCATTTGCTTTCAAGGATCATCATGCAATGCTGAATCTCTTAAAAATATCAAATTAATAATTCAATATGATTTTTTAAGATCAGGAGTTCTGTTTAAAGTCCAATAATCTAACAGAATTTCAATAACTGCAAAAGAAGCCCTCACAATAAATGATCTAAGAAAATCTGCATGTTATCTCACTCTGGTAGTATTTGTAAATATTTTCTGCAACTGAACTAGTTACAACTTAGTTCCAAATAGTAATATAGCTAAAGGAATAATGATGTTTCTCTCCAACTCAAAACAAAAAACACATAAAAATTGGAAAAATCAAGACATTATTTCTTCCTCTATAAGCATTTGTACAGCTTTAACAAAATGTCACACAACCAGGTAAATAGAATAAAATCCAGAAAATCTCAATGTGTGAAATCATATAAAATCAGAGCTAAAGCCTGAATCTCACTAAGTAGCAAATGATGGCAGTTAGTTGAAGACGAAGTACAATATGCAAATATTTACTTTAACTCCTACAAGACAGGTTCTTATAACATGGGTGTGATATTCCTATGAAAGACAAGCAAACGTTTTGTCACATTTTTGCCACAAAAGTTTTGAGTTGTGTATTCATCAATTTGAGCACAAGTTAATCTATTCTTGATTAGAGTCAATCACAATTTGGTCTCATAGGTCAATAAACCCTATCAGAGTTGTTTTAAGGTGATATCTCACTGGGCAGCGTCTGTAAGACTGGTTGATGACTTAAAATAAAGAGAAAATATGCTAAATTTCTGTTACAGCCTCACTTAACCCAAGTGTTAGCAACCAGCAAGAAAAGAGGCAGTGTTTTGCACATCTAGTTTGTTTTTTATGATGGCCCGATTTTACGTACCGTATTTTTCAGCCTAAAAGTCAAGTTTTTTTTTTCTCTGTAATTTGCATGCCCTGCGACTCATAGGCCGAAACGACATATTTGTGGATTTTCCCCATATTTATAAACCAATTTTTGGCTGAGAAATGACCGTTTTCGTTCATTCTGACTTGAAAAAAATAACAGTACCATTTTCAGCCACTAGATGGCAGCAGAATAGCAGTAGCAGTATGGTATTCCATTGTATCACGTAATAGGTAAACGTGGCTATAATGACAAATTCAAAAATGTTCAAGTAAAAAAAAAAACTGGACTTAATTTATTATGCTTTGTTGTTTTTGTATTACATTTTTTTGAATTTATCATGTCCTGGATGACTGAGAATCTTCACCAGCTATTAATGACACAATCAGCTTGCCAAAAATCCTCCCACCTTCCTTCTGTTCGCTGTTTGGAGCAACCGTAAAACCAGCTGCACCGCCCCGTAGAAATACAGCTAATTTGACCATTAAAGTGTATTTATTAAGTAAAAGTTCAACTGAGACATACCTTTGGTATAATTTCGAGCAAACAAATAATTGTTTTACGTGCTTTTCTTGTTAAATTTTAAAGAAACGAGCCGCGTTCCTCCTTATTTTTTTTTCCTCCCTCTGCATGCTCCCGGTGCACCGAATACAGCTGATTTGATCATTAAAGTCCTTTTATTAGGCAAATGTTAGACTAAGACACACCTTTACTATCATTTTGAGCAAACAAATAATTGTTTTTAGGTGCTTTTCTTGTTAAATTTCCAAGAAATGAGCAGTGTTCATCCTTCCTTTTTTTCCTCCCTCTGTGCGCTCCTGGAGCACCGAGGCAGTGAATACTTTTGAAATACAGCTGATTTGACCATTAAAGTCCTTTTATTAAGCAAATATTAGACTGAGACACCCTTTACTATAATTTCAAGCAAACAAATAATTGTTTTTAAGTGTTAATCTTGTTCAATTCTTGTTAATGTCCTCCTGTGCACGCTCCCGCAGCTGCCATTTGGCAGCCAATCAATTTTGGGCACAACAGCGGCCTACATTTTCGGGTTCGGCCCACATTTCTGGGTTGTCCATAGTGACGCGTAACAAACGCAACGCGTCAGCGGTGACGCATAATAGATGCGACGTATACGGCAAAGCAACATATTTATGGATTTTTCCACTTTTTTAGATACATTTAGACTGATGCGACTTATAGGGCGGTGCAACAAGTACGGTGGAAAATACGGTATAAGGCTTGCATAGTTCTAGCACTCTTGAGATGAGTTGGAAATGCATAAAATAAATTCAGGTGGGATCAAAAAGGGTTGATGACTTTGCAATTATTTTGAGAGAAAAACTGACACCTTTTTTACGTTCAAAAGTGAAGCAACAGGACTGCAAGCTTCTGCAACTCATACAAGGAAATTAAGAACCCACATATTCTAAAGACTTCATTAATGCTGTTCCCAAACCACAGTCCAGCGACATGCCACCTTTACATTACCCAAACTTTCTGACTCGCCAAACAAAATAGGAACAACAATTCAACAACCCTGACTATTCTGACAAATATTTTTAAACATGTTCAAAGTTCCTGTGATACAAAGCACTATAAGTAGTGAGGACACTGAGATCTCTCAGAAACGCTCCAAGAATTTGGGAAAACTCCCCCACAAATGCTGTTCCCAATTTGTCACCAACAGTCCGCAGCTCAGTGAGATACAACCTTGTGTGTTTTATGCTTTCCACACATTTAACAAAACGGCTCATTTGTTTTCATGTGGTTTTTACATAAATACAAAAAAACATTAACATTGCACCTAAAAAAACATCCACAAGCCTTGATGTGCCATTTACAAAAAAACCCTGTAATTTATAAAAGCACACATTCAGCATTGTTGCATGCACATTTTCCCAGTGTGCCAAAGTCTTTTTTAAAACAGTGTATAACACAAGACAATCCTCGTCTTTTTGATGTATATGTGATAAGGAAAACAAATAATTTTGAATATCCTCTGTAGTCCATCTGAGAAAATGGCTTTTGTGAAAATATTTATTAAAATTGTTCTTGTCTGGCAGAACAGTTATTGGAAATAACCTCATATGTCACATTTACTGCAGATGAAAGCATCAAATTCAGTTATTAAAAAAAAATCAATATTTTAGGTTGAAGGCAGCCAAGTATTCATACTTGTGATCCCTGAACTAACCTTAAGTTTATAAAGCAACATTATGTGTTTATAAGTGAAAAGCTTAGTTTTAAATAGATCTAAAGTGTTACTCTGGAGACAGAGAGCAGCAATGTGTGAGAAGACAAAATATAACTCGATCTAATTTAAATCAGCTTTC